GGGGGTTTGGGGTTGGGGGGGGGGGGGCGCTATCTTAACAGTAGGCAGTTTACTCACCCCTGTACAATGTATTGAGTCACTATGTTAAATTTATTCACAATGTTGTGCATACTAGGCTTAACCGACATCCTCTCACAAAATTATGTTATACCCCATAATTAAATTGGACCCGATAAATGAATGATGAGCTGACGCAAATGTCTGTCTATTTCACAGACGTATTCGGTAGACAAGCAAGTCACTGACTCGGCGTCGGCAGCCACGGCGTTTCTGTGTGGAGTGAAAACCAACAGGGGGGTACTGGGTCTCAACGCGGCAGCCAAGGAAGGCAACTGCAGCTCAGCCAAGGGGGCGAACGTTGACTCCATTTTGCGGTGGTCGGCATCAGCAGGTAAGTTGATGGCCGTTACATCGGCAGGGAAGTTCATGACCGTTATATCGGAAGGTAAGTTCATGGCCGTTACATCAGCATGTAAATTCATGATCGTTACATCGACATGTAAGTTCATGGCCGTTACATCAGCATGTAAATTCATGATCGTTACATCGACATGTAAGTTCATGGCCATTACATCAGCATGTAAATTCATGATCGTTATATCGACATGTAAGTTCAAGCATTCTTTTTTTAAACGCACTATTTTGTTTCTACTAAAAAGACAATTTTGACGAAAATTTGATCGTGTGAACTGAGCATAAACGATTTTGGCGATTTTTTTGCTTTTCTTTAACGTTACAGACAGCTCGAGCCTCGAATGGGTTGACTGTCAACATTTGAAATACGAGTTGTCATAAGGGGGGGGGGGAACCTGTCACTAACGGTGTGAAGACCTTACGATATATTTAGGTATATATTTTTTTTTAAATATTTATTTTCTCAAAGGCAAATCAACCGGCATCGTGACGACAACTCGTCTCACCCACGCCACACCGGCAGGGGCGTATGCCCATTGCCCCAACAGGGACTGGGAGACGGACAGGTGAGCTGTTGTACGCCACGCCTTTGATTAGCTGTATAGCGATAGGATTGGAAGTGGAGTGGTGGAACAATGGTTCCGGCCTATTCTTGTGAATAACGTGAAGGTCTGAATGAAAACGGCCATGATGTTTGCGAATTATTTATCTTTATTACCATGTGAATGTTGGACAAAATGATTTTATTTTAGGCAATTTTATTTTAGATAAGTTTGCCTTTAAAATATATTATTTTCCCTCCTGAAAATTGTCAGGTTTTTTTTAAATAGTTGTAAACATCAAAATGCACCAACCATTAATAAATGAGATCCTGGCAGTTACCATTGCATGTGTCAGTTACCCCTACGTGTGTCAGTTACCCTTACGTGTGTCAGCTACCCCTACGTGTGTCAGTTACCCTTACGTGTGTCAGCTACCC